CCTGCCCGTGAGCAATCTCCCAACTCATCTCTGCGCACGATCGCGTCCTGTGCTACTTTACGGTGGAGGATGCGGACGGCTAACACACTTGCCACCTGTTACCTCTCAGTGGCGGCGCAACATATTTCTGGTGGGTACTAGTATGTACAATTGCGAGAGTTGGGTCGCGGCCAGGGGTCGCAATGCAGAGAGCAGAGAGTTGGGAGCAGAAACGAGGAGGATCCCTGAGTTGGGCCGCCACTGGCGGGTATCTGGTGGCAAGTGCGCAAGTCGCCCGCATTCTCCACCGAGGGCAGCACAGAACGCGATCGCGCGACCCAGCCCGTGAGGAATCTCCCAACTCTTCTCTGATTGGGAAGATCCACTTTGCTCGTTTATCGACAACGAAATGACAAAGAATGGAACAATCTTTAGAGACATTATAACCTACCATACATGTTTCAAAATAAGGAATAACTATTTACATCAATATTTGTCACACAGGAGTATATTGGAGTCATGTATGCATCGGCGCATGCGTCCAGCAGACGGCTCTCGAATTGAATGCATCGATACATATCGATACCTCTCTAGCGAACGATTTTTGAATGAGCGACAACTTCGGCCATAATTACGCACATTTCTTTCGTTTTAATTATACGGATTTCCCGTATAAAAATGTAGTTTAACATCTATCACTTGCAGGTTATTCTTAGAACCTTTATATCCTGCAATGATTATTCTCAAAATAGCTGAAGCGAAATTATTCCGTACCTTTAGTTAAGGCCGAGGCAACTTTTGCGTGTCGTATTTACAAACTAGAACATACTGGAGTCAATTACTTTCGATAGTTCTTTATAAAACTGTTTTAAATAGCCGACAATTTTCAACATTGATCATAATTAGATCCGGTTGCTTCAATGGCTTGTTAAGGTCATTGTCTACATTGGAAGTAACATGTAATATCATAAAATAAATGGAACCGACAAAATTCGAGACACGGCAGTGCCGAGAATTTTTCATAGCGACATAAAACCAGGTCAATTTCGTGATTTAACTCACAATTCGTCAACTTTTGGCCGATCACTGAATGGCGATTGCAATGTAATATAAGGGAAATCCTTTCTGAACGGTAGCCTCGTTGCGTTACCGATATAAAAAATTAATCAGGGATCCATTGTCCGAAAAAATACCTGAATTACAAGATGATGATTAACGCAGTTCCCGCGCCACTTCTCGCACATCCTCTTGTCATTTGGGATGCTCCCCTCCAACATGTTCGTTTCTGGGTGAGTATAGTCCGTGGACACGATTACAGACAAGCAGAAGACACGTCGTCGTGGTCGCTCAACATAAATAAAGCAATATTAATGACGAGCGAAAACAATACCCAGTTAATCGCTGGCCAATAAATTCTGCCTTGTATAATTCCTCGATTCAGCCAAATTTCTTCATCGTGGATTATTAAAATTTCCTATATTTTGTCATTCTTTCGCAGCGGCAATTCTTTGGCGTCCGTTACATCCGGAATGAATGTTTTGCTACATCGATTGCCACGAGTGGCGGCGTGGCCGTTCTTGCCGTAAAAAGCCTTGCCCGAATGGGTCGAGCTTGCCCCAACTCCTATAACCTATACGATAGACTGTACGCTCAGAACGGATGCGGGGGCAGATCGGTGTCACGTGAACCCTCCGGATATACCAGCTTCCTAGTCTTGCTCACCTACTTTATTACTATCTCGTTCATCAGAAACGTTCGGAACCTGTAGAGCCGAAGGACCTCTGGGTTCACGGGATGTGTCGGTTAAAAAGTCATGAAACGAGCCGTTTTCATCATTTTATCTTTACATTTATATCATTCTAGCGGTTAGCTCCGATTAATTCTGCAACATTAAGATGTACCGCGATTTCCTAGCAATTAGTTTAGCTACTTACCTAGTCATTTTGCATCGTTAGTATTATTTTATGCTTGGGGTAAACTGTTTCATTTCAGAGTCCTTCATGCATTTAGAAGTGCAACGTATATGTATATTTTCTCTGCAGTTTGGTTCACGAGGGGGATATTTAGTACGATCGCAGCACTTGCATAGATGTCAAATGGATTCCTATTCACTTGACCTCCGTCCATTGGAATTCGCGTACTTACATACCACCGCAAATACCCTTATGATGGTATTGTAGCGGAGACTGACAAATTCGGATCAATCGGAGCTTCGGGACCACTTCAGTGATGTAATCGATCGACTATGTATGATAAGCGAATCTCTCGTTATTATGCTTTTCAATTCCTGATAGCGATTCTTGAGTTATTCTCGCAGTTCCTCTAATTCTTGTCTTAAGATTCGTTTTTAAATTCCTAGGACTTCCGGGAAGCTTCTACCCCTCGATTCCAAGATGGCCGCCATCGCTTAAAGCGTCCATCTTACGAGATCCGGTTCTGAATATTTTGCCGCCCTTGTGTACATTCACATTTTGGACACGTGACTGTGAACAAAATCGACAAAATCAAAGCCCGGCTAGAAGGCTCTGACTCGACCTTTCTACTAATTTTTCGATTTTTTACTTTTTATTCAAAGATCGAGTCGTTAAGTAACGAAACCTCGCGACTTCGGTAACGAATAATCCATGATTAACAAAATCAGTTTTATTTAACCCGTCATAAAATCATTAACATTCCTTCGCAACCAAGTACCTCTTTATAAATTGTACATCCATCAACGTTGTGACGAATAACAATGTACATAAATTGTACAATTATAAACGTCATAAATTATACGAATTTATATAAAGTAGCTTGAAAAAGAAATTGAGATGCTGAGGTTAAGGTGATGTGAAAATGTCGAAGAGGTCTCGTGCATAAAACATTTCTCCGAACAGGGTATACCGAATCCTTTCAAACTTGACAACGTGAATACGGAGGCTATACGGAAGATCCTGAGACCCACAAAATTCCAATTCTCTTTAGAAATTTGTTTATAGATATATTAAAAAATGTTGTCCAAAAAATGAAATGTTATGGCTGTCAGGACCTTCCTTACAGTCTCCATATTTACGTTGTAACATCTGAAACGATTCGGTGCACCCAGTCTATAGAAAAGTTTCATGAACGATTAACCTTTCGGACGCCACTTTAACATCCTCTTAAGATCGCGAGAGTGGTTTTCTCCCTTAGGGCGGATCTGCATTCTTCCGTGGACTTCGCAAAGTCCACGGAAATCGCGAGTCGCCGCTAAAAAGAGCGTCATTCCATTCTCGCCGAGTATCAGGACAGAGAGCCTTGCGTTCGCTCCCGGATCGGGAATCGCGGGCATAGGGCTGCGCAGTGGTGTCAACTTTGATGATGATATACCGTCGCGGGCCGGGGCCCCCACCAGACCGCGAGGCACCGTCGCGCCTCGCGCAGACGGCCCACACTCGCTCGTGGACGCGGGGTAGGCCGGCCGCGCAAGCGAGGGTGCCGTTCTCGTGGAGGGGGTCGCCGCCAAGGGGGACGTCCTCCGCAGCACGGAGCGACGCTCCGGTCCAGGGCAGCCCTCCGGTAGCTCCCGGTTTCAGTTCCTCGCGAGCTCGCCGCCGGCTCGCACGTTTACCTCGTTCCCCGGTGACCGGTTCGAGCCGAGGGCCTTTCGCGTTCCCCTCAGCCACCCGCTCAGCCGCCCCCGCCTCCTCCCAGAGGAGGTGGACTTCCGTCCGGGGCGACCGGCCGGGCACGTGTGTCGAGCTCACCCGGGAGCACCTCGCGACCACCTCGCGAGCGCGACCCAGCTTCCAGGCCAGCAGCCGCAGGTTCGTATTTTTCCCGCGCTCTTCGCGCGTCCCCGACCCGCCATCTTGGTTCCGTCGCCGACCACGCCGAACTAACCCCCGAGGAGTAAATCTTGTGCCAACATATTCTTCGCATTTTTACGTAAATCGACGAAGTTCACGGACTCCATCGCGCTCCTCAATCTGGGATTTATTGGCCCCGGATCAAATAAATCGCATGTCCGCATCGCATTGACTACGTCTCCATCGTACTTGAAATTTGGGATTTATCGGGTCCGAACACGGTAAATCCGAATTTAAGGGTCGATTCAGACGTTTGGAATCGAATCTGCGTATTTATTAATGCGATGGAGGCATGCGATTTATTGGGTACGGACCCGATAAATTCCAGATTGCGGAGGACGATGGAGACGTAATTATTAATAATTAATGCAAATTAATGCCGGGTAGGATGGAGATAGACAATGCGTGGTCGCAGTATCCTTTTTAGAGGTTTCTTCTCAAACTGCTGTTGCAAATTCGAGCACGATCAGAGTTCGATTGACGCGAAAAACCTGGAAACTCGTGGGTTAAAGCATGGCAAACGATAAAAGGGACTCTGGAAATTCTGTAGCGTTTTATTCCTTTGTTTATAATTATTTGAAGAAAGGGGGATACTCGGGGTGGATTGCTCTCGAGCTTGAACCCCTGGCACGTGCGCTGCACCTATTGGGTAATTCGTCCCTGATTGAATTACACTCCAGCGGATTGGGGTGATAAATGGTCCATGACAAATCCCTAATTCCGCGGGCTCAAGAAGGTCTAGGCCTATCGCCCTACACCTATAGGAAGCCCCGTAACGGGTTGGGGTTCGATGGGCAAGTAGGGTGGCCGATAAGATCGAAGGTTTTCCCATAAGGTTCTTTCTTCCCTTGACTCAAGGATGAAATCAATACCTGCGTAAGATTAGAGTGGATCATACGCTCCTCTCCTCTTGGAGTGATATATGGCTCGTGACGAATTTCTGATTCGACGCGCAGGAGGGGAACTGGATGGCTCCAAATCTCTTCGCCAACCCTCCACTCGATGATCTCCCCCATATTTGGGGTAGTCGACTTTTCTTCTCTCTCAATTTTTCCACCCAAGATTTCCCCAGTTTCATGGAATCTCAACATGGAGCCGCGCTTTTCTAACGATTTCAAAAATCACCCTGACACCGCCAAACCACGTGACTTGGCACATGGCATTGGCGCGCTCGCTTCCGATTGGTCGAGGCGTCCGCCAATCAGAGAACGCGCTTGTCCGCGACCTGTGGATCCCCTGGGTGCTCTTTAAAGCTTGGTTCATGCTTCCGTCCTAATCCTAACTTAACTTTAACTTAATTGTTCACTATTATGCTTGGTTTATGCTTCCATCTTAAACCTACCTTAAACCTGTCTTAATTGACTGCAAGTAATTCATATGGAGTATTAATGCTAAAGGCAAGTGTCAAGATAAGAAAAGCACAAACACTCTCCATGAATTCCTTATAGCGAATAGTTAAGTTAGGGTTAAGGCAGGATCAGGTTGGAGGTATAAACCAGACGCGAAGTTGCTATTCCTTGCGCCTCAACCGATACTCAATGTAGTAATAACATAATCGATTAACGGTTATAGAATCTGAGAATTCTGCAGGATATTCATGATTTTCTGTAATTTGGATAATCTGGGAGAGAATGCGGTTCCGTTTCCGTCGCGACCCGATGGCGGTTCAAGGCTCATCCTCACACTTTGGTAGTTTGGATGTTCGATATAATAATAACAAAGTAATCGATGAATCTTTACGGGATCTTCTGACAATCCTACAGGATATTCATTTTCATTTATTGTGATATTTGCAGTTAAGTCAATTTAGGTCTGATTTTCTGTAATTTGGATAATCTGGGAGAGAATGCGGTTCCGTTTCCGTCGCGAACCGATGGCGGTTCAAGGCTCGTCCTCGCACTTTGGTAGTTCGGATGTTCGATATAATAATGTAATCGATGAAAGTTTATGGGATCTCCCGACAATCCTACAGGATATTCATTTCCATTTGTTGCGATATTTGCAGTTAAGTCAGTCAAGGTTCAATTTTCTGTAATTTGGTTAAACTGGGAGAGAACGCGGTTCCGTTTCCGTCACGACCCGATGGCGGTTCAAGGCTCATCCTCACACTTTGGTAGTTTGGATGTTCGATATAATAATAACAACGTAATCGATGAATGTTTACGGGATCTTCCGACAATCCTACAGGATATTCATTTCCATTTGTTGTGATATTTGCAGTTAAGTCAGTTAAGGTTTGATTTTCTGTAATTTGGATAATCTGGGAGAGAATGCGGTATAATAATAACAACGTAATCGATGAATGTTTACGGGATCTTCCGACAATCCTACAGGATATTCATTTCCATTTGTTGTGATATTTCCAGTTAAGTCAGTTAAGATTTAATTTTTTGTAATTTGGATAATCTGGGAGAAAACGCGGTTCCATTTGCATCGTGACTCAGTACCGGTTGAAGATGCATCCTCACATATTGTTAACTTGGATGTTCGATATAATAATAACAACGTAATTGATGAATGTTTACGAGACTTCCGACAATCCTATGGGATATTCATTTCCATTTGTTGCGATATTTGCAGTTAAGTCAGTCAAGGTCTGATTTTCTGTAATTTGGATAATCTGGGAGAGAATGCGGTTCCGTTTCCATCGCGACCCGATGGCGGTTCAAGGCTCGTCCTCGCACTTTGGTCATTTGGTCTTGCCTTGGAAAAATCGGAAGCTCGCGCAGACGCGCGGCGGAAAGTCGGCCAATCGGGCCGCTTTACACGCGGCATGCTACATCCTCGGCTAATTATAATATAGCTGTTTTTTATGAGCGTGGAAGAGGAAGAGGGAGCCGATGGATGGGCCGCGGGGAAGAAGCGGGGATCGTCATATTTATTACGCGGGCCCCCTGCCGGACATGCGTATTTAACGCTCTTGGCGTCGGAACGACTCGGAACAGTGGAACGCCCCTCACCCCTCCGAACCACTGCCGAACAGTTCCTTCCCTTCGAGAATTACTCTTCACCTTCCCTACGAGAAAATTTCCTTACAACTGGCACTTCCTCCTTCAACGAAGGAAAGCATCCCTTAGTCCTCTATCGTTACACCATCTCGTCCAGTCGTGGTTGCCGCGACTCTTACTCGTTGGTTTCAAATTAAAAAATTCAAATTTTACTATCTTTAACACGTTGAGTGCCTCGCGAATTTATAAGGAAATCCCGGTCAGGTCATGCGCGCTGCTTAGAAGTGCGCTGGCACTGTGGTATAGTAATGCGACAAACACTACTAACAAATTCAAACTCACTCGAAGCAGGTGTGTAAACATATTAGGGCCATTGTTTCTTATCGTAGTAGAAGATATTTACGTTTAGAACGAAATGCTTATGAACATTCATTCAACACGTTATGCGTCAAGTTTGTTTTGTCTTGTTTATCGTTTGGTTCGCTCGATAAGATTTAATCGAAATCGGGGTTCTGTTTAGGTTACGACAAAGTAATACAAACATTTTAGAAATCTTTTACGTTTATATTCATTCGGTTCCCTGCGGGTCTTGGTTTAGTGCACCCAAAAATCTTTCTTTAGCCTTGAAAATGTCAGTCGAAGAATGTGAGTGTGTGTGCGTGCGTGTGTGGAGTAAAGAGTCACCGATGACTTACGTGCACTCAACGTTTTAACTATCTTACAAGCTGCAAGCTTTCCCTCTCTCGGTATTTCAAAATACGAAATGTTGTACCACAGTAACATGGCTCGGGTATCCCGTACCCGGGGTGACTATTTAAAGCTAATCTCGTACCACATACCCTATGAGTACGTTAATTACTCTTATAATGATTTATGCCTTCCTCGGAACAACCTTTAACTTCGGAGGCAGTCAGAGTTCGTTCCACGGCGAACTCGGCATGGAAGATCGAGAAGCAAAGTGACCACACGCCTCATTATCCAATGAGAGGAGGGATCCCTAGTTAACTACGGTGGGCGTATTAAGCCCCCGTTCCATCCCCGATCAATTCCGGAAGTCTTCCGACCAAGACGCCATCTTCTCGCCGATCGGATTTAAATCGGAGCGATATTCGTCATTCGTACGCTTTATCGAATGGACGTTTCATTTCGAAGACGCTCGGCAAGAATTGACTCCAAGTCGGAGTCGGCACGAGAGATGGAGATGCAAAGTGACCGCACGCCTCATTATCCAATAAGAGGAGGGTTCCCCGGTTAAATAGAACGGTCAGATTAAGCTCTCGTTCTATCCACGATCGATCCCGGAAGTCTCCGCCCAGGCCATTGTCTTCCAGCGATCGGTGTAATCGCTTTCCGCAGATTTTCTCCCGAACGGAACGCATCCCGGGGCTTCCTGCATCCTGGACTCTTTACTTCAAACTGGAACTCGGTCGAAGCGTTTTGCGATTGACAACAATGTGCTCCTCGAGAAGCCCCACGGACTCTTCCCCGTCTCAGAGTTTATGCGAAAGACGAAAATATCAGCGAGCCGATTTTTGGATACTCCTATATATTTACGCAATGAAATTACGATTAGGAAATTGAATCACTTATCGCCTTTCTTTTTACCAGCGGAATTTCATTAAATCATTTATTGCATTTCCCGGTGACCATCTTTGAGCGATGTCAAGGTTTCAGATTTCTTTTTCTTTTTTCCAACAATTTCTGGAAACAACGAGAACATGTAACGCCAGCTACTAGGCTCTTTCAGATCGTTGTAATTCGTTAAAAGAGCATTGAATCTATGAATGACCGATCATGTTCCGATTGCAGGAGGACGAAATTGAAGAGACTCTGGAGGAGAGGAGACCGGAAGTCGGCGAAGGATGACGGAAGAGGCCTCGCGAGACCCGGGGGTGGCGGACGTCACCAGCGCGGAAGAGGCCAGGGCAACCTTGGAGCTCACCTGCTCCTCGTCCAAGAACAAACCCCTTCCGGAGCGAGGAACATGGAGCACCAAACTCGACTTCATCCTCAGCGTGGTAATTCCCAGTTTTCCGATTCCTTTAAGGTCCTTTCCGATCGAACATTTATTAAGGGGATGTAAAAGTGGCATCCGAAAGGTCAATTGTTCATGAAGCTTCTCCCCAAACCGAGTGTACCGAATCGTACCAAACATTACAATATGCACATAGAGGCTATAAGGAAGGTCTTGACCCTCATATAATTTCATTTTTGATAACACATTTTTAATACGTTCATAAACAAATTTGAAAAAAGTTGAAATTTGATGGGTGTCAGGACCTTCCTTATAGCCTCCACATTGTCAAGCTTCAAACGATTCGATATATCCACTTCGGAGAAAAGTTTCATAAACGAGACCTCTTTGACGCCACTTTCACGTCACCTTAAGATTAATTGTTGTGGCTCCCCTTCGGAGACCACGAGAGGAGCCGTGGAGAACCTTGAACTTTACGACCATGATGGAAAAGATTGTAGTATAAAATGAGGCTCTATCTTGAGAAAATGATTTGGTGATGATGAACATTGAACGCCGTCGTTAGGTGGGTCTGGCCATCGGTTTGGGCAACGTCTGGCGATTTCCATACCTATGCTACAAAAACGGAGGAGGAGCCTTCCTGATCCCGTACTTCCTCACCTTGGTCCTCGCCGGGATACCCATGTTCTTCATGGAGCTGGCACTAGGACAGATGCTGACGGTGGGAGGCCTCGGTGTCTTCAAGATCGCCCCCCTTTTCAAGGGCATCGGCTACGCCGCGGCCGTGATGTCCTGCTGGATGAACGTGTATTACATCGTTATCCTTGCCTGGGCCATTTTCTACTTCTTCATGTCGATGCGCAGTGGTTTGTAAACTGGCTCTTGTAGACCCGTCGGTTTAGCAAAATATTATTTCCGTGCGCGTTTATTGGTTTCTTTTTTTACCATTCACAGAACTCCCCTGGGGCAGCTGCAACAATTACTGGAACACGAAGAACTGCGTGAATCCTTACGACAGGAGCGAACTTCTTTGCTGGGAACAAATGACCAGAAATCATAGTATAGTGAAGATGTGCTCCGTGAATCAAGTCAACGTCTCCATCGCGGATCTCACGGATCCGGTGAAGGAGTTCTGGGAGTCAGTGATCATTTTCAAGAATTGATTTCCTTACCGTAAGCCGTGGTAATAGTTTAGACGTTTGTTCTCTCAGGCGACGAGCACTGCAGATCAGCGTGGGCATCGAGTACGTAGGGAATATCCGATGGGAGCTAGCGGGTACTCTTCTGTTGGTCTGGATTTTGTGCTACTTTTGCATCTGGAAGGGTGTCAAATGGACTGGCAAGGTTGTCTACTTCACATCTCTCTTCCCTTACGTTCTCCTCACTATTCTCCTGATTCGTGGCATCACCCTTCCCGGAGCCATGGAGGGGATTCGATTCTACATCAGTCCTAATCTCTCCAAGCTGAAAGAGTCGGAGGTAATTCATTGAATCGGCTACTTCCGCTTAACACCATCGATACATATGATTCTCCAGATCGCTCTTATTAACGAAGCATTATGTAAATTTCCTCCGCAGGTTTGGATAGACGCAGTTACGCAGATCTTCTTCTCCTATGGCTTGGGTTTGGGAACCTTGGTAGCCCTTGGCAGCTACAACAAGTTCACCAACAACGTTTACAAGGATGCCCTAATAGTGTGCTCGGTGAATTCATCGACCAGCATGTTCGCAGGATTTGTTATATTTTCCGTCGTCGGCTTCATGGCTCACGAGCAACAAAAACCCGTGGCTGAGGTCGCAGCTTCCGGTCCAGGCTTAGCGTTCCTGGCGTATCCTTCCGCCGTCCTACAGCTTCCTGGGGCGCCTCTCTGGTCCTGCCTTTTCTTCTTCATGCTTCTGCTCATAGGTTTGGATTCACAGTTCTGCACAATGGAAGGATTTATCACAGCCATGGTGAGCTAACTATCCCTCATATAAAAAGTTGCAAATATTTGTTTAAACGATTACTATAAATTCTTCCCGCCAAAATGTGCCTCAGGTGGACGAGTGGCCGCACCAGCTGCGTCGTCGCAAGGAGATCTTCATCGCCTTCGTTTGCGTGCTGTCCTATCTGATAGGAATGTCCTGCATCTCCCAGGGCGGGATGTACGTCTTCCAGATCCTGGATTCGTACGCGGTGTCGGGATTTTGTCTTCTGTTCCTCATATTCTTCGAGTGTATCTCCATCAGCTGGGCCTTTGGCGTGAATCGATTCTATGACGCCCTCCGAGACATGATCGGCTACTATCCCCTCATGTGGTGGAAGTTCTGCTGGACGGTGACAACGCCGATGATCTGCATCGTGAGTCCCTAGAAAAATTAGAAAATTTACACAAGGTGTAGATCGCCGTGATTAAAGCATAATACGTTAATTAGGGAGTCTTCATCTTTAATTTGGTCCAATGGACGCCAATCAAGTACCTGGATTACGAGTACCCATGGTGGTCCCACGTCTTGGGGTGGTTCACGGCCTTGTCTTCGATGCTCTGTATACCTGGGTACATGGTCTACGCTTGGATGACTACTCCGGGAGACAGAGAAACGGTAAGAGAATTATTTAAAAATAATTAAGGAATAATTCAATTAGTCAACCTACGGTAACAAGTTAACGTTTCGTTTCTCCTCCCCGCAGAAATACAAGCTCCTCGTTCGAATAGAGGACGACGTCCCGAGTTTGCGAACGAAGATGGGACAACCTGCCCTCGAATTGACGCCCCTCTAACGTCACAGGAGCACCCGCCCATCGTAAACCAATCTATTTGAAAAGCGATCGTGCCGTTGGATCGCGGTTAACAAAAATATATACACCAGGTCGCCAACTCTTAGCGCCGCGCGATATGTCGCGCCGCAAGGAGTACAATGTAATTATCGAGAAAATTGAAAAAGAAATGTATCGGAAGAAACGCAGTATCACGCTGACGAAACGTGGCACGCCGGTGAAGCGTCTACCCAAGGGCTTCCAGAGATCCTGATGATATATAATCACGGTCCACAGAATCGAGTCGATCACCGGCGAGACCAGTGAGATCACAGATCGCACTTTCAAGATTTTCGTATGGAGCCTGATCCGTGTTTGCGATCGGTCCTGTTTTGTGACACGAATGTTCGGAACGCAGTACAAAGAACGCGTGTACCATATTGTATCCTCCCCGGGGTTCTGTCGTATACGTACATATATACCTAGCCTAGTACTGTACAATAGTTGTCCCTAGATTATTTATGACACTTCTTGGCGACCCTGAGCCCTCGCCCTCCGTGAATACTTACTAGCCTTAACAGAGACTAGTAGACAATAGATGCGAAGGTGTTCAGTGGATAGATGCGCATACCGCTAGCCGCGGTTTAAGCAGTCGAATAGTCGTTAACTATGTTAGATTAGAATCACTAGTTTATTAACGTTTACGGCGATGGTAGTTCGTTCGTGCATTTGTCAACGGCAACCGGTCAACGATCGGTGCACCTCGGTCTTGGAGGGGTACCGATCCTAGCTCGCGAGAACGTCATGATCATCATCTTTACCCCCTTCTTCTACGTGACTTTTTAATTTCCCTTTTTTGTTTTTCCTTGATCTTCCAAAACTGTGGATTTCACTAGGAAACGTGAAAAGAATGTTCAGTATTGTACAAACAGTCGTCACGGTCGGTTCGACGAGTTCACTTTCAAAAGCGTAGAAGTCAGGCGGCGATCATACCTCAGATTTATCTACTCCTGTTATCAAGCCTACTCTCGTAATTAATGACATTACTGTCAGTACTATAGATACTATATATATATACATAGACCACATATCCGTAGTCATTAAAGAGAGATGTTATCGTGAAGCTGTTACGTTGTATTTATAATATTTATTTCGATATTTAATTATTTTTAACTTGTTTATTTCATACATTTTGTATTTTACCGAAACTCTATGTTATCTCCGTCTGCATAGCATTTACCGGTAGGACTCATCCGCATGTATCTATTGACATTATCAAATAAATAATTACCAAAGTTATACCATGCTACATTAACTGCGAATTAGTAGGACGTTTAGGTTTCGTGCAAGACGGAATAAGTGTCGGATATTTTTGGTCTGTAGTATAAAATTTATTTCGCCTTTCCTCACTTTTACGTGGTGTATGCTCATACAAACGAAGTATATCGACGTCTGGTAAAAAAAGAACTCGAAATAATGTTCGTAAAAAAAGAGCGCTTTCGCAATACACAGTCATTTTACGATAGAGCTATGTGAAATATATTCTAGAGCTACGCAAAAGTACCCAGGTAATTTTGCTGCGGAACCAGTTACCTTATTGTTAAACACCTTTCGGAAGGCTTGACGTTCCCTAAAACGCGTAACTCTGTGCGTAGAGTTAACGATCCCCGAAACGAACTGATTTCCTGGGCATACGTGGACGGAAAGTTATGCTACACAGCAATGGATTATTGAATGGTAGCAAGTCGTACAAGCCGAGTCGAAATAGTACGTGCTACATTCTAAGTAAATGTAAAATGCGCATCATGACTGGGTCTGCCTGATGCATCTTACCCAGATTACGACCAATATCTTTGATATGATTACGAACATTAACGAAACCTAACATACATCTGGCTCGCGTGAAATGTATAAAATACGCCTTTCTTTGTTGCACCGACAATTCTTCTTTTCAATAAATCCCAATACTTATATACAAATCCGATTGTCAAATATCGTGGCCCTGTTAGGAATAATCTCTGCTAATGTATAATTTCACAGTCGCCAGATGGAAATGTAGGAATCAATCTTTATACAGATCTGGTATTAATATCGTTATGGAATGTTAGACATGCGAGTGATTAATACCGTAGCGGCTTCGAATGACATCTTTTTCATCAGGTTAAAGTCGAGTATCATGTGAGTCAACTGACACAGATGCGGTATTTACTGCTACTGTACAACTGCACCGGCCCAAAATTTGCTTATTTCTGAACGAAGCAGACATTCATTGTCTCTATATTCTTATCTACATCACGTACAATGGTAAGGTAAGAACACTTCGGTACGCTCTAAATCCTTGCGAACGTATTGCAACAATGTCGGCGATTCGCAACATCATGGAGACGTCCGTACGTTTCCGAAATTTCCCGTAAAAACTGTAGTTCAGAGTTAGCTGCCTCCGAGTATGGCCTGCATTCATTACCTATACATTAATTAACCTGATTTATATACATTTATATAAGGCATCATTGCCTCGCGTTATTGCCACTGTTTTCCATATGCAAAAATCAATGAAGGCAAAATAAATTGAAGTTCTTTAAACAGCTCATAGATACCCACGCATCTTTCCATGTCAGATCATACTTCCAAGTTAATCTGCTTCTCTAAATTATAATTACTTTTATCCCTAAGTTAGATACTAACATTTTATGGTATTAAAAACTCGGTCGAAAAATAGCTTCTAATTAGCGGTGAGAGTAATCGTAAAATTGTAGACCATTGCGATGTTCCGGTTTTCAAATACAAAATTCCACCGCAATCATAGTACAGATGCGTACAGCAATACTCGTGAAATGTGGATTCCGAGAGTATGAAGAAAACTTCGCATCAAAGGATGACAAAGACTGCCAGATACCCGGATAAAATTCTAGCCGAAATAAGCGATGACTCGGTCGTGAAGTGATCGATTCGATGCCCTTAGAACTTAGTTCTACGCGAAGTTAAAAACTCTCAATAAAAATAATGCGCTGATTCCTAGCGCAGCATTTAATATTCTCTCCCCAGCGCTGCTTCTAAAGGCGGCAGCTTCGCCCATTTGGAAAGTATGAGCGGGGCTGGACATCCGACCATCCCCGCCATTGCTAAATGCCAGTACTCGTAGATGATACGCCTTGCCAGGACTGAGATTCGTAATATCAGCCTCCAGCTTAGAACCCCCAGGGATGATCGTATCATTCCCGGTGCTCATATCTTGATCGACCTCCCAAACCCTTATCTTATACCCAATCAGTGGTTCCTCCTCCTGACTGGGCTGGACGTATCTCCAAACCACCCTGACGGTAGAGGGATTGACTCCATACACGTTAACAGAGGACGGTGGTTTCTGTGGAGCTTTGCGATACGTCCTCTCGAGATACCGTTCGCTCTCCGGACCCTCTCCTGCTGAGTTGTAAGCCATCACCTTGACGTAATAATAGGTGTCAGGTTGGAGACCAACGACCAGAGACCATGGTCGAGTCGTGCGGGACAAGTAGTACACGGCATCCTCCTCTCGGCCTTTCTCCAACCAATACTTGATCCTGTGGCCTATAAGTTTGCCGCGGACTCTTTCTCTGGTCTGCAGAATGGGTGCCCAGCTGACGTTCAAAGCTGTACTGTTGTAGCCTAAAGCGGAGACTTGCTGAGGCGCTACTTGCGGCATGTCCTCGGCGCTGAAGATGGTCACCACCTCGCTGATAGGACCTGACCCTATGTCGTTGATCGCTTGGACCTTGACCTCGTACTCGGTGTAGTAGTACTTCTGCTGAATGTTCGCAACGCACATTCCTACGTTTCCATGCTCCTTCAGCACCACGGTTTGGAACTCGGTCTCGTCGTTCTTTCGACGGTAGAACACCTTGTAGTGTATGCCGGGGCCGTTTTGCTCGGATGACTTCAAAGGGTTCCATGTTATCGTCAGGTCTCCGATCTTGCCTCCACCACCTCCAACGTTGGACGGGGCCTTTGTAGGTTTATCCGAAGGTGTGCTGTACTGAGGAGACGGGGCCGAAGGATTGCCGTAGCCCAGCACGTTGAACGCTGCTATTCGAAACTCGTATGTCGTGTATGGATTTAAGACGTTCTCTAAGAAAGCCTCTTTCCGGTCGTTGTACCTGTCGACCTCGATGGCAGTGATGTCTGGAAAGAAGACATTGTTTTCGTACACGGTAAATTTTTCACTTTTCTATAAATAATAATGTAATTGATAAGGATTTAGTGTAATTTTCTGAACTCACTTTCAGTCAGGTTGAACCAGGTTTGATTCCAATTCGTTTTAGCGCTGACACTGTACATGATAATGGGTCTGCCATTGAAGGCACCATCGGTCCAGCGTAATGTCACAGAAGTTTTGGCAACATCGACTACTTGCACTCCACCCGGAGGACCTGGAGGACCTTCTACGATTACTGTGGTCTTGGTCGAGATTTTGCCTACTGCACTCTTTATTATACATTCGTAGTCTCCTGCCTCGGCAAATGTTGCGTTAATGATGTCGAGGACACCTTCTTCGATTCGCAGCCTGGGATTTGCAGTAAGATCTTTGTCTCTGATCACCATTCCATTGTGGGTCCAAATGTATGCAACGTCCAAAATTTCTTCTGTGTCGGCATAGCAACGCAGTGTCTGGTTCTGGTTCACTGCTGTCACCACTCGAGGATTCATGAACTCAGTAAACCTGGGACCACCTATTAATATGATAGTAAGTAATGTTTTAATTAATGATCACGCGTGTCAAAGGCAATTTAAGATGTGGGTTATTTCAGGTGCAACTTACGTAATACTATTAGTCGTCCTCGACTCTCATCGTTTCCATACTGATTTGAAGCTGTACATACATATGTACCTTCATCGTTTCTGGACACAGGACTAATTATGAGACTACCGGTTTCAAGAATCCTTCTTCGTCCACCGGAACCAATTACATTTCCATCCTTCTTCCAAACAAACTTTGGCCTCGGTGCAGCTTCAGGATTACACACAATTGTCACGTTACCTCCTTCTGCTGCATAAGTTTCAGGTTCCATTGGGCGCTTCTTGAAAGATGGCTTCAATGCTACATAAGACATTCATATCAATATACATCGAATAAAGTATGCAAAAAAATGACATCTACATGTGTAAAGTAGCAATTCAAGATTTGAAGTAAAAGATAATTCATTCTTACACAACACTCTAAGTTGAGCAGATGAATATGTAGTTTTCAATTGATTTCTAGCTCGGCACTGGTACATAGCTTGATCCCTTTCTGGATCCAGGTACTTAATTGTGAGCACATTATCTCGTATAAAGTATCGATCTTTATCCTCCGGTGGAAGAGTGAACATGTCCAGCACTTCTCCATTTCTGAACCAACTGTACGATACATCAGGTATTCCAAAAGCTTCGCAAGTCCATGTAAGTTCTCCTTTGTTATCCATGTGTTTGTCGATAAGGGGAATAGTGAAATTCGGGGCAGCTTGTATAGTTAACTGAACAGAATTTTCTATGGATACACGTTCATTGTGGGCTCTGCAGACATATTCTCCCTGATCCTCGACTTGTACTCGTGGAATAATTAGTATTCGGTTGTAATTTGTAGCAATAGCACTGCGTGGCAATGGCGCACCCCTTCTTGTCCAGTTATAAGATGGAACAGGACTATTTTTTAAATTTACGGTATTAGTTACGGTTTAAAGCAATGACATGTGTGAAAAAAAAAATACTCACTATCCAAAAGCAATGCATTCTATTCTGACTTCTTCTCCGGCAACTGGGGCTTCCGGAAATGCTTTGGGAAAGTTGTTGGGAAATTTCAATTGTTGAAAGGATGCTGAAATGTGAATATGACTCTTAAACAATATGAATATTAAATTACATTACATAAAATTATTTGAAAGGATGGAATAAGGAAATAGTACGTACAATGGGCTTCCACTTTCAGGGGGAAGAAGGGGCCGTTACGACCGGTATCTGAAGCCACACTTTGAACATTACAAGAATAATTGCCTCGATCGATCATTTCCAGTGCAGAGAAATAAAGAGCACCATCATAAGAGACAAATACTCGTTTGTCTTCCTCTACAAAATTGGGGAAGAAATCACGCGTCCAATAGTACTTAACTCCTGGGAAATGTTGAGGTGGATCACAGTACACTGCCTTCCCCCAGTGTTGATCACCACGTTCTTCCGAACGTTTTAAGTTAAATTCCAGAATATATCCAAAGGATAATTGGACACTTTCAGACATGATCGTTCCAAATTTATTGCTTGCTTTGCAATGGTAAGATCCACGATCTTTAGTCTGCAGAGAAAATAATTTATTCAATCATCTGTTTTAGGTGTGTTATATAGATACCAAGTTTTAAAATTACGCATTAAAAACAATCTTACCTGTTCTGGCTCAAAAATGATCAGCATACCACCACTTACTGTATATCTATTATCTGACAATGGATTTATCTTTGTCGCGATTAATCTATCATTTTCATAGTCTTCTTTGAACCATTCGTAAGTGGGAGTGGGATATCCTCCAGCAAGACAACTCAAAGAAATATCATTGGTTGACCTTCTTTTTGAGACATCAAATACTTTACTCACTGGCTGCTTAATAAAATAAGGTCCTCGTGGAATTCGATTAGGATTATCAATTTCAATTCCATATTCATAAGTACGGTCATCCTCCACTAAATTATGTAAAAAGGAAACAGGAGCTTCACAGATGTACACGAGTTCATCTTGGCCCGTTATTCTCTCCAAGCCCCATCTTTTCAATCCATCACTAAATGCATAAGCCAAATATTCTCTTCCTACTACGCCATCATTCGGTTCCGGAAGAAATGCATTTTCCATATTAGTTAACTGAGAGTCATCTGGTTCATTCACCCATACTCCTCCTTGAAGATGAGCCCCTGTATACCACTTACGATGTTGAGGATCTTGCCACAACAATTGGTACAGTAAAAACCCATGTTCTTCCACAGAATTAATACTAACTAGATCGCTTTGATACGCTTGACAATTCTTGCGTGCATCCTCCCTGATCCTTATTGGACTCTTTACAAATCGATAGCATGATTCTTGAAATTGAAGCCAATGTAGAGGGCATTCGTGCACAGCCTCACCGTAAAAAACATTTTGGGTGGAGCTCGGTGTTACGATTGCAGCTAAACCGACTGCTAAAAGGAACAGAGCAGCCATCCTTTCATTGGCCAGCCCTAGAGAAAAAAATATCAGACGTTAATATATATTTTTACTAATTCTCCAAGTACATGACTCTACCACTAATTACCGAGGCAAATAAAAAATATACAGATCTCTTCTCAACGACCTACTATTAATCAACTAACCTGTTGATCACTCAACCTTATATAAACTAGGAGATATCCTACCGCTGTATCAAGCCCAACTATTTCATGAAACATCGACGTTACTTTTAAAATACAGCAGAATTACAAGAATGTACGTTAGTCATACCGCATTAATGACATGATTATATGAGAGGGGGCAGGGAGTGGCATTATTCTACTTTAACTCGGTAAACTATGTTTTCTTATTCTGACTTTCCACATACCCGTTCCTTGATTTGGAAAATAAACCACTTACTAATGTTCGATTAATTATTTTACATTCAACTCACCGTTCCCGACTTGAATCCGTGTTTATTAATACAATTAATGCACAATGTGCACATCCAACTTGACACAGCCGCGTGCCCCTGCGTGCCTGTGCGTGCCCCTACCCATTCCTTCGTGATGCCGTCCGTTGCAGAGATGAGTTGGGAGATTGATCACAGGCTGGGTCGCGTGATTGGGTTCTGTGCTGCCCTCTGTGGAGAATGCGGGCGGCTCGAGCACTAACTACCTGATACCCTCCAGTGGCGGTCCAACTGAGAAATGAGTAACATTAAATATTAAATATGACTGCAACCCCGCTCCCAGATTGGACAAAGCCGTGTTTTGCAGGGTCCCGGACTCTCTCAGGGCACCGAGCACGCCTGTAAACAAATCTAACGGTCTGTCTACGTGGATCGTCTGGAAGAAAGTGACTGATCAAGTAGTCAAGACCGCTAGATTTGTTTACAGGCATGCTCGGCGGCCCGGGCGGGTCCGGGACCCGACAAAGCACGGCTTCGTCCAATCCGGGAGCCAGGTTGCAGCCAGGGACCCGATTCTCGAATTCATAGGATCAACTTTCGCATGCGAAACTGACAGTTTCATATAAGTCATTCAAACGTTGACCATCCACGCGTCTTCCGACAATGCGAAACTTCTCATGCGAATCTATTCGTACACGAACAAAATCCTGATGAACACAAGAATAGGAGCCCAGGGGTCACGTGGTTCGGCCGGAGAATGGCCGAATGAGAAACGGCGACATCGCCGCCGCGCAGTGCGCGGAAGACGCGATCGGCTTTAGTGTGCCAAAAGTTGTCGCGCGGCAAGGTCGTGATCGGAAGATACCGCATTTGTTCGACCGAAATGTCCGAAAATTGCTGTGGTTTCGATAAAGCCTTTTCCAACGAGTATTCCGGAATGTTTACATATCGTTCAGCTTCGCGAGTTACGTGATCGCGTTGTACATTCGTCCTATTCAGTGCCTTCCAGTGTGCGTTGGATTGTGCAATTGGTAGAATTCTGTTCCCTGTTCTACGAGATATAAAAAGCGAAAGCGGACTACGGCCCGAACCAACATCGGGGTGGCAGCTGATGGAGCCGAGGATTGAAACCCCAGGTCTCTTTCGGGAGGGATCTCCTGGGGGAGTATTTCACGAAGAAGACGAGATGTCTGTCGGTAAGTCGCAACTTCTCGTTCCTCCGACGCCCTCCATGCCGTAGGATGAAAGGTTCGAACCGGCACGGGCGTCGGTTGTATGTTACCCAATTAATGTGAGTGACCGCGAGTCGATGGGACGATCTCCCGCCGACTCGCGAGTGGCCGCGCGGATATTATTTGTTTTTTATGTGTCAATTTAGACTAGGGGTAGATTTCTCCCGGATCTGCTATAGATTTCGGTTCGCGATCTTTAATCAAGTGCCGGGAAGTCGGACGACCCTCCGACTTCGGGGCCGTCGGTTCCGCGGAATTTCTTCACATGATTCGAAAAAGACGAGGGAGAAGTGTTTCGCGAGGAGCCGGACTTGAGTCGTGGTGGCACTTCGATGTCTTGTGGGCCATCTTAGAGCCGCCGCCTCGACGACGGGGACGGCTTCAGGGATTACAGGTGTTTTTCGGCCAAGCCTTCCACTACCCTGGGGCCGTAGTGCGAGCTGGGCTTGGTCTTGCTCTCTTATCGAAATTGTGAAGTATCAAAGTCGAGTAGAGTCGGTAGCTCGTTTTAGCTATATCGGAGTTAATCACGTTAGGAATTTTTCAGCGACATCAACGGTAGGTGCATATTTTTGTGGCTGCGTTCCTTGCTGGCCCTCGCCGTTTGACTCCTCCAGGAGCGAGTCGAACGGCTCAGGGCCGGGAGACGTGGTAAAAAAACATTTTGTAACCTCCTTCGGTTGCCATCCGGATTCCGATTGCACGTAATCATTTAATTTTTTTAAATTCAACTGGCGATGGCAATTGATGAAGCATTTGCATCAGAGATCTGAACTCGGGGGTCGGAGGCATCCCGGGATGCGCTCCCTAGGATTAGGCTCTTTGCCCCCGGGTGGAGTGTGAAAGAACCGTGGAGTGAGTGTGTTGGAATGAAAGTGATTGATCTTTTAGATATAGCTAGGGAGGTAGGTAGTTGTCTGGAGTGAACGTCTAGATGTAAGTAGGCAGGGCCAGGGCAAGATCTCTTCCCACGAATTTGGGGGGAGATCCTGGACCTGGGATACCTTTCTATCGTTCGCGCTTCCAGAAGTGCGGAGGATGTCCGTCCTGCGCCCGGGGTTTTATTCTGAGGAAAGAATAATTTTCCGGAAAAAAAGAAATTCTTGTGATATATTTTTTCACCAATATTCGGAACATTTTTAGACCAATTTTGGACATCAAATTCTTTTCGCAAAATCCCTTTTGCCTGATATTAACGAGTGGCACCTCTGATTTTTACAAAATAAATTTTACTGGAGCCAAGAAATTTCTTTAGTAAGAAACGTCTAGTTTGCCGCGACTCATTCATTTTAGTCTGGAAAGTAAATTATTCGCTCCGGGTACTTCCGGACGCCCGCGATTGTGACAATTTTCTTTCAGGAATGAAATTAATTAGACCGCGCTTGGGAATCCGAATAAATGTGCAATATGTGACGGACTGCGCATCCTCGGATCGTAGGTCGTCGTTTTGCTAGCTTTTGAATCTGCTCGCGGAGTGATTTTTTTTTTTTAATTCGAAAAATCAGGGGATTGCCAAGCGTTCGAGACGTAGGGGGCTCTGCCCGAAGAGACTGCAAGAGTCGAAGAGGCTATATGCCGAAGCGGCCCTTTAAGAAGAGGGCAACTACGATGGCCTTCCATTCTTTCGAACGGACAGCCATCCATTTTTTGGCCACGTTGTCACTCCTATTTTTTTTCCGTGTCATTTTGTCAGGATTGACGGAGAATAGACGGCGAATAATCATTTTGATCATATTTTATCGAGTCTGCATTTAAATAGATTTTTGCATGCTTAGTAATATGAAAAATACCAGTTCAATCAATTTAACGAGATCGATGTACCATTAATATTCTTGACTTTTAGTAACTTATTCGCTGTCTAGTCTCAGGCTTCCTGGATCTCTTTTTAATGTTCCGTTTGAATTAATATTTTTTAAATCAAGAAAATGAAAGAATTTTTTTCAGTCGCCATTATGCCAACGCGGCGAGTAAGAGTACAATTCGAAAATGGAGCCGCATCGCGGCATACAGTATACTCGATGTACTCGAAAGATGGCGCTGCATTTCCAGGAAGAACAAATGAAACTCTCGGAATACTTCCCGTTTAACGGCGCTGTTCTCCACGGAATCGAGTTTCGCTGGAATTCGGTCGAGGGAAATGAGATAACAGGATAGAATGGTCGTCGAGAAGGGAAAAGGTCAGAGTCGAGGAAAAGTGGGGCGGTTGCCGGTGCAAAGACGATGGACCACGAAGAAAGACTTTCCTCCGTGAAAAGATACGATCTTTAGATTAGAACAGCACTTTTGCGGGCGAGTGCTCGGGCTTTTGTACGGACTTCTCCATTTAATATTCTGAATTAGTCAATTCAGTAAAAAATATGCTTGCGCCGGAACTTTCCATAGCGAATGAACGAATTTGCGGATAGTTTGCTCTCTTGCGGCCGGTACTAGTGTGACGTTACTTTTTCTTTTTCGCTTAATTTATTACCCGCTCCATCCCTAGCTGAAAAATTCCGGGGCCGGATATATTATGCAAAAGAATTTAAATATATGCAAAGCCAATGGGCCGTGTTAACGTTAATGATCCCGGGAGCGTCTCACGTTCTGCGGTACTACTTAGTCACCGCATAAGACGGGGGCACTTGCTCGGCTTTGATCGTCTAAAAAATCTCAATGGATGAGGAGATCGGTGGGGATTAAATTAATAAATATGTAGTATTTTTTACACATTTATTCATGAGAGCTTTATCCAAGTTTATCTACGAGGAAACGGCTACAGTAAATCAGACCGTGCACCGAAACGAAGCACTTAAATGAAACAAATCTTTACTTAATATGCGTAGATATATACAAATACATAGATGAGTTAAATGATTTGTAGCATTTGCTACATATCCACTGTACGCGTCTTTATTACGCGGTCTGATAAGGAGTCTTCACAAATATCTCGCGTAAGCACAATGGCAAGTATAATAGTAATAAGTAGTTAACTAAATTGCAAAAAATGTAATATGTTCGGTAAATTAATTGTTGAGTTTTTATTGTTACCCTTACAGTTGCCGTTATGCGAGATATTCGTGAATGCATTAAGGGATTCCCATGTTGATTACACGGGGACTGTTTTAATGCAGGGGAATCCTGTTTATCGTCGACAGATAGTGTCGCTAGAAAATCTGTACGAGGGATTCCCTAAGAGATTTAGAGTAATGATATCTTAACTTACGATATCCTATCGTAACCTCCTGATATAAATTTATAGGGATCGACACGATGGCTTGGAAAAATGCTCGCTACCCTTATCGGTTTTTATAGCTTAGATAGAGGGAATTTGTGAGGCCAGTGTCCCCCGCAAATAAAAACCGAGAGACGGAGTTTCGATAGAGCGCACTTTACCGTTTCTCCAGTTAGGTTCGCACGATGAGCGCTAACTTGAAAAGGTATTTTCCAGAGCAACGTGTATCGAAGCTTTCCTAGGGAGTTTCTACCGCGTCCTTCGGTGGTGGGGTATTCTGGTGATTTTTTTTTCTCCTTCGGTTGCCGGGCACGAGTTCTTCGCCTCATCGAGATCTTCCAAGTCCCGAGTCGTCTGCACCCACGAGGTGTAAAACGGACGTCCGTTTCTCACCGATATTCGTCGGGGCAAGCGCTTTGGGGTTTTACGGCGAAGAGGCTCAGTAATTTTATGAGTTTTTCGCCGGAGCGAATTAAGATTTGCATAATGCCGGAGCACCGCCAGGAGCCAAGTGTCGCGGCATGCAAATGCTGGCCGACACTTAAAACCTATAAGACGGGCGAACGTTTCGTCAAACGCGAGAATGTCAGCATATTTCCCAGTCAGTGCGAAAATGCCATCATTCGGGGATTCCCCGAACCGCTAAGCCGCTTGGTTAATCGGTATCAATGGCAAAGGGATGTCGC